AAAATTCTGGTTAAAAATCTCGAAATTTAGATACAAATTTGTGGAATTTTTCTGAATTCTGTATAAAGTTTGAAAGTGTGATTTAAGCTTGAAAAACACTGTAAATATTTAACACGAAACACCATTCATCCATTTTTGGCCGCCACTATACGCAATCATACGCCAATTTTCAACAAAAAAGTTAAGTAAAACACATTTTTTTTTTATATTTGTAAACATAATTATATTATTATTAAATTATAATAATTAAATTATACATACTATATATTTTACAAACATTTTGTTATTTTTAAAGTGATAATATAAAATTACTGATTTCTTTATAACTACTATGCAAGCATACATACAAACACATTGTTACTTAATTGTTTACACAGTTTTGTGGCTTTTATTATTATTTCCCTTCATGCTTATTTTGCTATTTTCTTCATTAGTATTTCGTATTTTACGTCTAAAATAAAATATACATTTTTAAAACCAATTTTAATTAATAAATGAGCTGCACTTGGGAGAAAGCTTTAGTGTAAGAAAAAATTTGGAGTTCAAGAGTTTTTAATTAAATAAAGTTTGTATTCTCTTTTATAGAAGAAAAATTAGTGCAATCGAATCCATGTGAAATCTGAAAAATATTAGAAGAACCCAAAGCAATTAGCAAAGAATTCACCTTAGTATATATAGATTCTGCACTTCTTTATGTTTCTTTAATTTTTTTAACAAATTTTATATAAGTCAGACTTTATGAATCGAATAGAGAAGAACAAAGCCAAAAACAGAAAAGAAATATCCGGATTTTTTTTACTCTAACTTTGACTTATTCAATTAAAAACTACGTCTGTATGCAGAGGTTAACCGAAATGTTGCACTCAAATTGGAAATTTTTAATAATCAATGGGCACGTTCAGAAAGCGCAACAGCTCAGTAACTGTTGCGATTGCACCTTCTGAACGCGTTGTTTTGTGCTTCTGATCAACTGAACAGTTGCGTGCTAGATGATCGTAATATTTTTCTGATCATTTGAGACAACATGTTGTGTGTTTTGAATTTGACTGATAATGTATCAAGCCGTTCAGAAGACGCATTACTATCACTGATTTTTTAAGCAACGGTTGAGCTCAACTGCTGCGCCTTCTGAACCTACCCAATAAGAATTTAACGAAATGTCATTTGTTCTAAAAATTTTGTTTTTAAATAGAATGTCAATTACGAAGACATTCTAGTGGTTGGTGAATATAACCCTTATTCTTTCGGTGTACTAAGCAGATAACTTTTAAAATTTATTGTTAAAATAACGCCCAGCAAAAAAATCTGTAGGTTTTATATATATATTTTTTTTCAAATACAAAATTTTTTTTTGCCATGGTGTTGCGGTTTTCTACCATATAAAAATAAATTGTGTTTATTCGTTATATGGAAGCAAAGGCGACAAAAAAAAAACTAAAAAATCAACGGTAATTTCTAGCTCCTTGAAACGTGCACATTATTGCACTCAACTTGAATGGACTATAAAACTGTATACTCAGAAAAACTCTTTAGTTTTCTAAAAAGTTTTAAACTTGTGTTTACATGGGGTTTGTTAAAGAATGAACTGGGTTTTAATTGAAAAATGCGATTGGAATGACCGATACTGTACATACATACATACATATGTATGTATGTACGAATGAATTAGACAGCGCAAGTTGAAAGGTAGCTGCAGTTCGAAAATAAGTCTTCGAGAAAAACGACTTTAAAGTTAACAAGTGGATTAGATTTGAATGTTTTTTTTTGGTCAATGAGTCGATTTTTCTGTATTGAAAAAAAAACGTAGCATTGGTTCATTTTATATTTAATTTTTAGCGTGCGAAAAAAACTTTAAACTTCATTTGAACAAACAGTTTTTTACAGTCAAAATATATAAAATTTGGCCTGTCGATTTAAAAATGGGCCTTTTTCTTTCTTTGAAATTCACTATTTGACGAACAAATGGCTAATTTTTCAATAAAATTTTATAATTTTTTTTATATTTTAGAACTTCTTAAAATAAAATTTAAAAATAAGCTGACATAATTTTTAGTGTAAGTTAAAGAGCGGAAAAAAGTCCACATTATTCTAACAAATGTATAACTTTTCTTCAATAAAACGTCGCCTTAAATTTAACCTCATTTTCAGTTTGCAGTTTCTTGGTAAAATTATCCGTGCTTTTATTTTTGAGATGTGAATTATGAAACAAATTTGGGATTTTTTTTTAATTTTGCCTTCCGATATTTTTTTTGTACATAATGGGGCGTATTCTTATTTCGCACGAATCGAAAATCATGAAATTTTCCTATAATTTTCTAGAAAAAATTTCTAGTTTTCCATTCATACGAAAATATGAATACGCCTTAATATTTTAAAATGAGCTAATATTATTTTTAGATAGAGTTTAGCAACCAAATTAACTTTTCTTCAAACAAATATTATATGCTCGTGGCTTAAAACCTTTAAAATAGCTAAATTTTAGAAAACCGAGGAATTTTTTAATTTGTTTTAAATTATCTGATATTAATTTAAGAAAAATGAAGAACGTGAAGAAATTTACTTTGCCTAACAAACGCCATATTTTTTCAATAAAATCGGACAAAATTTGTAATCTCTGTTAGAAATTAAAAAAAAAAATAAATAATTAAATAAGCCTAAGGTAAAAAGCGGACAAATTCCATATTTTTCTAACAAATACTCTCTTTTTTCGATAAAAATTCATAAAATTTGAGTTAACTTCAGTTTTACAGTTTCTTGGTAAAATTATCTCTATGTTTAAAGTATTTTTTTTGAGTTGTTAATATTAAAATAAAATTTGGGATTTTTTTTTTTTTTTTTTTTTTTAGATTTTATTTTTAAATGGGCAGATAACATTTTTAGCATGGGTTAGACAGCTAAATTAAATTATTAATTTTTTCAAACAAATATTATAAAGTAGCCAATTCGAGAATGTATTTATGTATAACAAAAAGAATGTTTGCTTTACACCATTTATTATGTATGTATATTAGAGTGGTACTTAAAATATCAACACCTAAATTTTGTGTAAGTCATCCATTTATTTTGTTCTACATACAATGAAGATATCCACGAAAATTTTGAAATAATTGTCAGGGGTCGCTACCAGGGCTGGAAACATTTTAAATCTGACGACTTGATATATCGAGCCCTAATCGCCAACTCCAGGCGGATGTAGATGCATTTCTGCATCAAAAATAAAATTTTTGGAAAAAATATCGCTTACGTTTTTTGGCGATTAGAGCTCGATATTGTTGAAAACTTTTTATAAAGTCATAGTCACAGCCAAATGGGTTTAACATGCCATATCAAGCCCCAAATACTGTCGCTTGTATGAGTTTTTCTATAACACTGGTTTACAAATAATTATGTTGAACAAGTGCCAAGAAACTCATGTATAGGGAAGAATTAATATGGACTTCCTAAGCTTAAAACGCATTTTTTATTCATTTCATTTTTATTTTTTCTTTCTGCAGTTTTTTTTTGTGGTAATGGTATTTTTGTATGTTTCGGGGTATGATTTCATTAGCATTTCAGGCGGTACTTCGTTGGAAAGACAATTAAAATATGCATCCAACGACACACCACTTATTTTATCGGACATGCTGTGTTGTAGCTGGTTAAATTTTTTAAATTTTAGCGCGTTAAAAAAATAATTTTTTTTTCAAAACCCTGGTAGTGACCCCTAAAAATTATTTTGCAATTTAAATATTTTTCCGTATGGCTTTATTTTGTACGTAGAGTAAAATACAGGGGTGCCTTATAAAAAATTAAGATTTTGATATTTTTAAGGACCCCCCCCATTATCATTAAAAATATCTTTAAAATAATTAGTTTTAATTTCATTATCATTATTACCACTTTATTTATGTATGTAAATACATATTTATTTATATGTATCTATGTATATATGTTACACAATAATATAACTTAACGCTAATTTCGTAAATAAATACATACACTATTCACTTCATTTTCTTCTTTAGCCATTTATTATTTGTTCTATAACTAAACTGTTTTGTTTTACATA